ATACACATGTAACCATAAGTGGGCTACGCCCATTTTCCAAAAATTTATAATATTCTTATTTTCCGTCTGAAAATTATTGTAAATATAAATTTTGAGTGAATTATCTTCCGTAGTTTCTAAATATCGCAGTTTTCTTATTTCTGGAAATTACCGTTATATGGGAGGTGGGCGTGGTTACAGTCCGATTTCGCCCATTTTCAACACCAACCTACCTTGGATTAATGGAAACCAAATTTCGTTGAGATATGTCAATTTTTGCTCGAGTTATCGTGTACACGGACGGACGGACAGACGGACAGGCGGACGGACAGACAGACATGGCTTAATCGACTTCTCTATTCATTCTGAGCATTTATGTATACATTTGTCTATATCTATCTCGATTCGTTTTGGCTGTTACAAACAACCGTTATGTGAACAAAATTAATATACCCTTGTGCACGAGTGCGCTCGGGTATAAAAATACGTTTAATCCGGTAAGCGGATGGATGCAGATAGGCTATATATTCGTAGCTTAGATTATATTAAAATAAGTTCATGCGCATTAAAAAACACCTTATCTTTAGTGTTGTTCCGATGCGAGTAACTACAAGTACTTATTCGATACTTTCTTCAAGTACTAAAGTCTAAATTCTACTAAATTTTGAATTTCGGTTCTGACAATATATGAATCACGCTGTTGTGGTTTTTGCACCACGTTAAGTTGACTAATAAAGAAAGTGTCAATTCCTGCTTTCCCGTACTAGTCAATTATTAAAATTTTGCAAGATACAAACTTGTGGCTACTTTTTCGGTAAGTTTTGGTCGGAGATTACTCGAACCGATTCTGTTTTTCTTCACATGACATAAGTATTTACAATGAGTTCGATATGAGTAAGTATCGAGTACTTCTCTCGGATACATTTATGGCATCAATACTTTTCTTCAATATTTTTAAAGAGTACAGGTATCGAGTACAAGGTCGTATCGGAACAACACTACTTATCTTTACGGAATATCTAATATATTAAGGAAACAAATTTTTTATTTACTCCTGCAGAAACGAAAAATTCTACACATGCTGCGATGAACCCTACCTGGACATTACATTCAATATAACAATGAGGAGGAAGACATTATTTTATACTGTTAACATCATCATTCCATGCATGGGAATATCTTTTTTAACAGTTTTGACTTTCTATTTGCCCTCGGATAGCGGAGAAAAGGTAAATTACATAGTCAAACGGATACTCATAGCCGAAATTTAAGTTTATGATTAAATTGGTAGATAATTAGTATGAACTTTATTTGTCAATTTTATTGTGGCTTATTAACATTTTTATTTTAATATTTTTACTGAAAATTGAAAAAGCAACAAAGAGTAAGGGGTAGAAGTTTTAGCAGCTATTTCGGAGATCAGCACATCTCCTCTTCAGACTTCATTTTCTAGACTTCAGCGGGGATCGAACCCGCATCATCGATTTGTAAAGTCAGAAGCGCTAACCACTGAACTATGAACACCCAGTAAACACTTGTTGCTAATTCATTCCCTTATTCAACCTACTACCATCAAGTGATGCTGATTTTCGGGGAAACTTTCCATTATGGCCGTTCGTTAAAGGTGCCGTAGGCGAAGGGGGAGTGGGCGTGGCACCTCCAACCGACCTTTTTGGAGAGGGNGGTAGGCGAAGGGGGAGTGGGCGTGGCACCTCCAACCGACCTTTTTGGAGTGGGCATAAACCGCCATTGACAAAAATGGAACCCCCGACCACCTAGGCCCCCTATGGTTCCCTACGGACCCCTTAGAAAAATTGCCAAAAATCGCAATTTTTACTTGCGTCTACAGTATTTTTGCGTAGAATTCCTTTCTGCGTAGGCGGCCTTCGGCCGCGCTTAGGAATTATAACCTTTACTACGTAGAATTCGCCTGGGGCTGCCGCCCTATTTCGCCGTCTATTTTAGTTACTGGGTGTTTTATAAAAATGTCTTGTATATAAAAATGTGTATATAAAAATGTATTGTGCAAATGAATATTTAACATTTTTGAAGCGAATAAACGCAAATGAAAATTGTGATTTTTGGCAATTTGTCTAAGGGGTCCCTAGGGAACCATAGGGAACCTAGGTGGTCGGGGGTTGCATTTTTGACAATGGCGGTTCATTCCCTCT